TGTTTTTTTTATAAGAATATTTCCTTGTTCCTTGTACAGTAAGTTCAGTTATGTTCCCCTGTACAATGTAACATTAAAGTTTGTTTTGTTTACAGTCACAAATTTCGATTACAATGTAACTGTCAAAGATAGTATCACAACATAATTACAAGCTTATTAGCCGATGTTCTCCCAAACAGGTCGATGATTAGAACTTTTGTAATTGTAAAGGCAAAACATGTTTCATGTTATGCAGTATGCAGTCTTTCAAAATATTACAAAAACATTCTGAAAATATATATTACATTTTATTGGTAGTTTTTTTTCTATAAAAAAATACAAAATTTTCATATACTGGCAATTCCTTACTTCCATGCATCACTCGCAGATTATAAAGAATTTTCGATGGGCTACCATAAGGTGAAAATTATTAAAATGTGGAATGTTACGCATAAAGCAGATATAACAAGAAAACAGATATGTATATGGAGACATGGACAGCAATGGGAGACATGTTCCGACATCAAGATGTGGCCAGCTCCGCATCCACATGGAAAAATCCATTAAAAATACAAAAATATGTCTTTAACATTTCTATATATATATGTATATATCACAACAAAATTGTAAAACCAGGCATTGATTTTGGTAATTATAGGATTCTACATAGCACTCAATAAATATCCAAAACAAAAACTGAAAATTTGATGATTCATTAGTTAGCATTATTCCTAGAAAGTGTTTCTATTCACAGTGAAAGAAGTGAGATAAATAAGAGAAAAACAAAATTTAAATATTTAAAAAAATTGCATAATTATTTTTAACAAACTAGCAATGATTTGGTTTAGATGTTTATCTGAAGCTGAACTATGGTTATATAATAAGAATATATGTATAATAACAACCCCCATTCCCATCCCACAAGTGACTTTAACATACCGCACAGTCTTTCTATCAACGGACCTCTTTTCATAACTGTTTGGAAGTAAAAACGAACAGTCATGAATTTTGAATTGGCTTAAAAGGATTTTCATTATTTCCCTTATTTCGGAATAAGAACAGAGGTCAAAGTTCAGAGAAACGACACATTCACACTCATTGTTACATTCACATATCATTTCAGCACTCGTCACTCTTTAACTTTTGGAAGTAACATTTCTTCATTGTAACAAAATATGCATAGATAGAGAGGTGAGTGGAGCGGACCTCCAATCTGTTACCACTGTATTGAGTGACCACGTATCTCCTTCATTAGATGAAAGTTGTTGCCACGGTAACCACTTGTTTGGTGCTCTTACCAGGAATCACTCTAGTAATAAAAGTGTACAGAAACGTGAGTATGTGGCAAGTCTAAGCAAAACCTGTGACAGGTAATGGTTTGTACAGTGATTTTCTAACGATGATGTCATTTCATTCCAGGTTGAAGTCTTTTGCTTTAATAGCATAACAAATACAAAGTTTCTATAGTATGATGTTGTCTTTGTCTAAATGTTGCAGGCTGGCAGAATTTTTGTTGAACACTAATTAATGAACTTCCCGGAATGAAGATTGTGTTGGCAGGTTGCATCAGAGCAAGGTGGTTCCTTCTACTATGCCTGTGCCCTGTTGAGTATCACTGTAACAGAAAACAACGTAGTTAAAGTTTTGCCCTCTGATGGAGGTTTGAATACAGCACCTAACGTATTTGTTTAGGTCATTTCTACACCACAAATGCCTGGAATATAGTCAGTTGAATCCTCCTCATTCTTGCAATATCAACAACTCCTTGATAGATTATCAACAGTGTTTTCTCAATGCAAGCATGTGGATAAAATTAAGTGACCATTGCAGGAGAACTCAATATTTTATCCAAGAGCAAGTGAAGCTCGTCGCCCAAAGTTGACTAAATACCAATCGGCACCTTCCAACCAACTTTTAAAAGTCTGTTCGATATGGTTTCACATTATTGTACCGACAATTTTCCTATGTACAGTGCTTAAACATTTAAATAGTGTTGATCTGCTTCAGCAGATTGACATTATCGACCATGAACAGATTTTTTAAATCGGGACGGTGAAATACATTCCAAGCTCCTTCTCAACTCCTGAAGTATTGTTGCACTAACTATCCAATCTTAGGATACACCAAATTCACTAGTGATATTTGACAAAACTCAATCATGTTCACGTGCGGAAAAAAGTTAGCTCATGAAATACTTACTCCTGGAATATGGGATTGATAGCGGCCGTGGATAAACCCCGGTCATCTTCCTGTGGTTCAATCATTACCTCCTCACCGAGATTTACATTGAGGATCTCCAGAGGGTTTATAGCCTCATCAGGCGGTACATACATATTCAGACTCTGTAAAACAAGAAATGGTACTTAAGTAACTCACTTCTTACTCACATACCAACTTAGGATAAGTTCTTTTTTAATAATCTGATGTTTGATTTTTGTTACTTCTTTTTTTGTAAATTCTTTCAGATGTATTAAAATATTGTGATTGTGAACTGGTTCAGGATTCCCTTTCAACAAATTGACTTACCTGTGTCTCGTACTCCCTGAGGAAACTTGGAGGTTCCATGAAGTCTGGCTGGTCATAGGAAGCTTGGTATATACGGTACTGGTTAATGTACTTGGTGTATCTGTAGGAAATCAACAAGAGGGGTCATTAAGATTTATCTCCCTTGCCACAAATCCAACACAAATTAATAAAGAGTGTCCCTTTTTACCAAGTCGAGTAGTATTATTGTAAAGGTATAAAGACATACAATGGAACCGACACATTTCATGAAATGACCAGGTAGTCTAGGAGTGCTTCTTTTAGTTTAGTATTGAACTGCTTTCAGTAGGCATTCATAGTCAATATGAATGCCAACTAGATTGTGACAAATTCTAGGAAGTTCTCTCGAGTTTCTTGTTGGATTTATTGTGTTCAAGTTGGCATTGATACTCACTATGAATGACAATTTAAAGCTGTTCTTTACTTATAATGATCACTTTGGAAATATGTAAGTCCAATTGAAAGTTTATTGATCAGAAGTCAGCATTTTCTTAAAAAAAATTGTATGTATCCTGTATAATTGTTTGATGAATAAAATGGTCATCTTCAATGGAGGATGAGTGGTATCAAAGCCACAATTATGATATCACAATAATGACTGTATAAACATGGGAACCACTGCATTCATAGATGATATGAATACCATCTTGACTTGGTTGGGTGACATAGTGGCAGGGCCAATGAGTGGTAAATACAATGCATGAATAGAACCTACCTGGAGTGTGTGAACACTAGAACAATTATTCCAACGATACAGAGGAGGATGATGATTGCCGCTAAGGCGATGAGTGCTGCCCATGGGTCGTCAATCCACCACACGTAGGACTTGGTAAGACGTGTCTGGTAAATGTTGGCATTTTCATACGGCATACGTACTCTCTCTACCTTGATTTGTGTGTCACTCTGTAGTCGGTCGTTGAGGTTTATGGTCTTGTCTGCAGTAAAGATGCTGAAAAGAACAAATCA